CTCATCATATTTTTCTCCTTGCTGATAATAAGTCTTTGATGTCCTTATATGTTGACACACATGATTGCTTGCTTTTGCTCAAGAAGCAAAATTGAGGTAATACAGTGGAACACGTTTTCTTTTAGATAATAAAAGAAGACAGATACTTCTCGGTGGAAACAGTTAAATAATCTGAATACATAATCTAAGTTCCTTTTTTTCGTTTCTTATCACATTTTTTTCCTTGCTTACGATTAATTAATCTTATCATCTCGGTTGAACGACCAAACTCGATTCGGTTGCTTTGTCTAAGCGGCTAATTAACTCGAAGTTTGATTGAATTAGGGCGTTGGCGGAGCAACTGCAGAATACCCGGCTACTCATTTACATGTCATTGAATAAGAATAGCGTCTACTGTGCTATGCCTCGATCTTCAAAGCCTTACGACACATGTAAGTGAGACGGACCAAAGTGGCCGGGTATTCTGCAGTTTAGCCGTATTGGCTTCGAGGAAACCAGAACCCATGATTGTAATGTATTTGAAGAGAAATACATAGCTATCTTTCGGTGAATCAATAAAATGAAACTTTCAAAGATTTTTGTTGTTGAATATGGCCACGGGATATGCGACGATTCTTCTACAAATAACTTAATGGTGTTTTCCCTTTCTTCTTTAATTGCGCTTTTCTGGTCCCTAATCAAGTTCTTAACTTCTATTTTCAGGAGAAGCAAAGTTCTCAGACGGATTGAAAGACAGAGATTCTGGTAAAGAGGATTCACTGGAATGACTGAATAGTTGGTGGATATTACAAAGAGAAGAGTTTTGAAATTATTGAGTGACAGTAGCAAAAATGGTGGCTCATTATATGTAGAATCTTTTTACGAAGTCCTCTTCCTTGCCAGGTGTATTTAAATGGATAAAACTTGTTACCTGGTGAGTGAAAACTTTTCAATTCGCCATCATTTTTGGAATAGTTCGTTATGATGGGAATTGTTATCCAAGCCTTGAGCGATCGGAAGATTTATTTGAACTACAAGCTATAATTTGGTACAATTTACCTCAGATGATCTCATTCCATCGAATTAACCAAAGTAATAGCTGGAAATTGATTTAAACCTGGCTACAGAAAGCTGAAACTAGAAATCTTTGATTCCGAAGCACTACTCACCCTTTTGGTTTGGAGAACAGTTTGTTTCATAATTATACCCCTAGTTAATGTAGCACAAAGTTGATGTTTGTTAAGGTGGCACTCGAACAAAAGATCTTGGACAAAGACAAAACAAAATATAAGATTAAAATTTTGCCTGGTTTATTTATTTAAAGAAGCGCACTTCTGAACAATACCGACATTTAAACCACACTAATGACTAGTACGTTACTCGATGTATAATAAACTAACTTGTGATTATAGAGCATTTAAGACAAATAAAATACTTCGTTGAATATGAAACTTTTCTGCTTTATTGAGTGAACACTAAAAGACGATAAAACTGATTGGCTCTTTACTTGTTACCAATAACAATACAAGAAGACAACAAGGAAATAAAGATGAAGTTTATTAGCAGTGGGTAGTATATCTAATAACAACAACAACAAAAAAAAAATTGGCGCATGCGTATTTTGGGCGCCGTATTTTTTTGGCGGGAAAATGGAGCACATTTGAACAGATGTGACTAACAGAATAACTAAAAAAAAAACAAACAAAAAAAATTGGAGCATGCGCAGTATAAGCGCCGTATTTTTTTTTGGCAGGAAAATTTTTAACTTGAGAACAGCATGAATAATTAGCCAACAAAAAAAATTAAGTCCAACTAAACTGCGAAATTACAGTTGCTTACTTTTGGTTTAAGTCGTCAGTTTTTTGTGAATGATTCTTGGCTCTAATTTGCCATATTCTTGAAAGAAAGGCGCTACACCTGTTTTATACCTCTGAAGACATCTTGTCTTTCACTTGGGTTACAACCATTTTTGTTTGATTCATGCATCAATCAATCTGCTAGAAAATAAAAGAAACAATAAATTAACAACTGTGACAGATCTCAAACCTTTTGTCTTGGTCACTCACAGGAGTTAAAGGGTTAAACATTTCTTATCTTTGACTCTATCTTCTTATCTAAGCCCTAACCCTAACCCTAACCCAAACCCTAGCCCTAAACCCTAACCCTAAGCAATTAATGGTGCTAGTGTGTGTAGGCACAAGTGATTTTTATCATTCATGTCACATTTGAAAACGATAGAAACCTCCTTTGTAGTGTCATTATTCTTCTGCAAACATGGAAGAAAGGGAGGGGAGAGCCTATTGAAGGTGGGATGCCGCCTGTAAATTTGGGCTGATAGTAGGGATGCTTATCAGATCAGAGAGCTTATTTGAGAGGAGGTGATAATTCTAAGATTAATGGTTTGCATGTTATGCCCCTGTCTTACACTGTACAACAGGGAGAAATACTTATGGAAAGCAGAACAACAGGATGGCCTAAAGGAGCTTGGTAATTATCTAAGCCTATTGAACATTTAACCATTGAATACATGCAAGGTGTATTTATCATAACACTATTCCCATATCTTTAGCCTCTCAACAAAGATACATTTAACATTTTCAGTAACAGTTGCTAAACCAATCTAGTTAAAGGAGAAATGAGAAATCATTTCCCCAATCGAATACAGGTCAACCCTGACTCACTGCTGGTTAGAAAGCCAAAAAGAAAAAAAAAAAAGATATATAAAATTATTTAAATCATGTAACAAAAAATTAACTTAATGAAATATTTTAAGTTCTTCTGCAAGTAATTACATTTATGCACCAATCAATTTTAAGCTTTAACATGCGTCCCCTAGGAAACCCATGTGCATTTGACTATCATCCATGCCCAAGGAGTAGGGAATTTGAATATCAAAACGCACATTTGAGTTATGTGATTTTCTTCTGCAAAGCTTGAATGATCATATAATATGCTGGTAGATGAGAGGAAAGTCAAGGTTCTGATCTTGCCTTTTTCATAAAATAGTTGTTGTCTGCAGATCATGAACTGCTATTGAATAATGAATGAATAAATGCTGTAAAATGTACAACCTCTCAAACAATATTAAAGTAGTTCATCCAAAGGTATTGTATTCAGTGGCTATATGCATCTAAAAAAAGTAATATGATAAATCAAGACCATAAAAGAAGGACAAGAAACATGTTGCTATGATCCTAATAGTTATTTCTGGTTTAACAGAAGTTTGAAATCTGCATTTTATAGAGGTGATAAAAAAAATCAATTTGCTCTCACACTTCCAAAAACCCTCCCAGTATGGGAGGCAACTGCAGTGTCATGGAACGTGACAGTTTTGATGAAAGGCCATACACCATGCCTTTTTTCCTCCCTATTCAAACATTTTTTTTCAGAATAGGGTTTTTGACTGGCAACTCCAGCACTTGGGAAGAGAATTTGAACTCAATTTTGTTCCATGGAGAGGTGGAAATTTGAAGTAACTAATCCTCAAAAGCTCAAATGCTGGAGAGAGGGGGGGGCGGAATCGCAGTGTGGGGGATGTTGAAGTTTACAATTGATCAATGCATTACCAATTAATTTAAGGTAGTACATTCACATTAAAGCAAGGAGAAAAAATGATAGCTTTTTATAATTTGTGGGAGGGTTATAAAATAAATAAATCCCCTTATGGCTTGCCAGTATGT